CTAACCTGCCTAGTTAACCTAATTAACCTAGTTAAGCCTTTAAATGTCACTTTAAGCTGTGTAGAAGTGTCTTGAAAAAGATCTAGTAAAATAATATTTACCGTCATCATGGCAAAAATAAAATCAATCAGTTATTAGAAATGAGTAACTAAAACTATTATGTTTAGAAATGTGTGGAAGAAATCTTCTGTCCATTAAATACAAATTGGGAAAAAAAATAAACAGGAGGGTGAATAATTCAGGGGGGCTAATAATTCTGACTTCAACTGTATATTGCGATCGTGATTTTCGAAAGTATTAAATCGCTTTGTAAACGTTTATTATTACCATTTCATGAGTCTTCCCATTCAGTTGAATAGAGCGCTTGGACCCAGAAGCCGCTTCGCGTGACGTCACACTTAACAAGCGGATTGAGATTCTAAACATATTATAAAGACACTTGTTTTCCCAGTTTGACTCTTTCAATACTCTACACGCATGATATGTTTGTTGCTGCCAGCTGTAAGCATGCAAAAAAATCAAGGTCAGGTGGCCCAAGGGAGGATTTCCACCTCCAGCCCACCAAAGCCTCACCATTCCCCAGAAGTGGGTCAGATTTGATACCAGTAAGCTGATATGTTTACAGTTCGCACTAATCCATGGACAGCAAATGCATCATCATTTATGCATCATGTGTGTTTATTATGGGCTTGTTGTTTAGGCTTGGTTAAAAAAAAAATCTATCAAGTTTATTAGTGTTATTATAGTGGGCAGATGCAGGTAGCATAATTTTGGTACATTTATCGCATTAACTGTTTACTTTTACACTGATGAGTCATTTTATTATGACAACCCACAGCCTAGTGCAATGAGCAAACCTTGCAACCTGTGCAGATCATGTCCAGATCTTAGAACATTATATATACCACTGAAAGATCAGCTGTAGAGTGTCATGTGTCGGAATAAGAAAAGTTGCAGAGTATTGGAGTTTGACAAAGAACACAAAATGTGATACCATGCATGGGGCCTTGAAAAGAGCATTTTGTGTTTTACATACTGTTATTTAACATGAGTAAACATCAAAAGTGGGGTAAAGAATGAACCACATTCCAGCCATGAGCTGATCATAGCTTACTCATGTAGGAGACTGCTGAGGATTGTTAAAAGTGAGTGCAGGGCCACAGTTCAACAAATCACCAGCAGCTGCAACAGTGGTGACCAGGGCAACAGTCATAGATCATCATAGATATCATGAAAACTTTCCAAAACCGCACAATTCACTTATATGTGCTCCATATATTTCATATGATGTTCATATGAATCTCATTTTATTTTGTTATTTTATTTTATTATAATTTTTTTAAACCAATTATCCAATAAAACTTTTAAACCGATCCCAAACTACCTGAAAAAATCCAATTAACCCAAACCAACTTTTACCCACAAAATCAAAATCAGAAACTTAATACCTCAGGATTATACATTCACCATATTTCAACATAATTTTAATTTCTTTTTTCACAACAGGCTAAGTTTACAGTTTGCTTGTCACTGCCAGATTGGCCGCTGCTTCTGGTTTTTAATCGTTACACTTTTTTGTTCCTGTTTTTTTTGTGTGTGTGTGTTGCAAGTGTAAGCATTTCTTTTACACAATGTAGGGACAAAACACTTTTTCTTTTATGCAAATTGCCATTCTCTTGCCTGGTTGCAATGTTCTCAGATCTGTGGTTGCATTTTCTAGCCATTGCAATGGTCTCTGAGGTACACATACAGTATAACGTTAGCAAAAAATCAACATTACTTAAGTCTTGTTTTTGAACCTCTCTCTGAAAAGCATTATTGTAAAATTTCTCATAAAGTCTTTCAAGAAATATCTACTGTTATTGTTAGTTTTGCATGTTAAAATTGTAGATGGGCGCAGCTGTGATGAACTCAGTATAGATCACCTGTGTTAAAAGCTGTGCTGTTTGTGGGTTTATTGCAAACTGCATTCTGACATACAGGAACTGAGATATTGTACTGCCTCTGCATGCAGTATCGTACTTTACTTAAATCATGAAAAGGTGATTAAGATTTTCTTAAGTTTCTCAAATCTAAATGATCTTCAATGGTTCTCTTAAAAAAAAACATAATAGTTTTAATAACTCATTTCTAATAACTGATTTATTTTATCTTTGCCATGATGACAGTAAATAATATTTGACTAGATATTTTTCAAGACACTTCTATACAGCTTAAAGTGAAATTGAAAGGCTTAACTAGGTTAATTAGGTTAACTAAGCAGGTTAGGGTAATTAGGCAAGTTATTGTGTAATGATGGTTTGTTCTGTAGACTATTGAATAAAAAATAGCTTAAAAGAGCAAATCATTTTTAATTATTTTTTATTTTTTATTAATTACTGCTTTTATTCTAGACGAAATAAAACAAATAAGACTTTCTTCAGAAGAAAAAAATATTAACAGACATACTGTGAAAGCTTCCTGAATCTGTTAAACATCATTTGGGAAATAATTAAAAAAGAAAAAAAAAAAAGATCAAAGGGGGGCTAATAATTCTGCTTTAACTGTATATACATATACACACACTAAATCTAATGGGGACAACACCCAGACCATTACTTTACACTCTCTCTCACACACACACACACACACACACACACACACACACACACACACACACACACACACACACACACACACACACACACACACACAGTTAAAACCAGGAGTTTACATACACTCTAAAAAAAGGAACATAACCATTTGAAAAAAAATTGAAAAAAAAAAAGAAGTCTGATGGTAGATCATACTAAACGTTTACTATTTTAGGTCCGTTAGGACCACCTAAATCATTTATATTTGCTAAATGCCAGAATAATAAGAATTTTTTTTTATTAGTTTCTTGACAGTCAAAAGTTGACATGCATTTCCTTGGTATTTTTTTAGCTTTGCTTTTAAACTGTATAACTTTGTTTAAATGTTTTGGGTATCCTTCCACAAGCTTCTCACAATAGTTTAAAGGTATTTTGGCCCATTTCTCCTGACAGACTTGGTGTAATGGAGTCAGATTTGTTGGCTGTCTTGCTCGCACAAGGTTTTTCAACTTTGCCCACAAATTTTCTATAGAATTGAGGTCAGGGCTTTGTGATGGCCTCTCCAAAACATTCACTCTGTTGTCTTTAAAGCACATTTTAACTAAGTTGGCAGTATGCTTAGGGTCATGTTCTGTTTGGAAGACCCATTTGTGGCCAAGTTTTAATTTCCTGGCTGATGTCTTGAAATGTTGCTTCAGTATTTTTTCATAATGTTCTTTCTTCATTATGTAATTTAGGAAGTTGTAATCTGGCTTTTTTGTTGATTTTGGCTTGTTGATTTCCCCATGTTATCACAAAAAGAAGCAGTGTGTTTGAGGTTTTCCTTAAATACTGTTCTACAGTTGTGCCTCCAATTAACTCAAATGTTGTCAATTAGCCAATCAGAAACTTTCAAAACCAATCATCTGCGCTTTTTCAGAGGCATATTAATCTTATTGTATGTAAACTTTTGACTTTCATGAAAAGTTATAACAATTTCTCAAAAATATATTTCTCATTATTTTCCTATTAAGCATGACAGAAACAAATTTGATGATCCAAATTTACCCAAAAGAGGGAAAAGTTTTTTTTGTTTTGTTTTTTTTATGGTTATTTGCCTTTTTATATAGTGTATGTAAACTTCTGGTTTCAACTGTGGAAACATCTTTTATAATTTATTTTCAGTGTATGTGTGTTACATAACATTAATTGTTTTACGTTTTCCACTTTGCTGAACTAAATGCATAATTCTTTTGCCAGGTTCATTTTACTTAGATTGTTTTTTATAATATTAAATTAAATATATGTATATATATATATATATATATATATATATATATATATATATATATATATATATATATATATATATATATATATATATATATATATATATAAAAGTTAATGTCAACATTTGAGTTGTCAGCTCTCTCATCTTGAATGGATTTCATTATGTTTTAATGTGAGTAAATGGAAAAGCCTTATATTTTTGTAAAATAAATGAATAATTGAGTACATTTTATACAGTATATTGAATTAAGCTTATTCTAGTCACAAAGCCTGCATTCATTTAAACAAACAAACAAACAAACAAACAAACCAACAAAAAAACAAACAAACAAGCAGTTCTATCACTGCATGTAATTTAAAATCAAATTTATTTATGTTATTTAAAGATGAGTTTCCATCATCATTACTCCAGTTTTCAGTGTCAAATGACATGATAATAATCAACAGTGAAATGCAAATTTGAAGGAAGCTACAAAGAACAAGAAAAAAGAGTGGACTGCACAACAGGCAGAATTTACAATTTGCATGTCGCTACCAATTCGCCACTGCTTCTGTTTTTCACTTTTTTTAGTTCCTTTTTTATTTTATGTTATTTTATTTATTTTTTATTTTTACTTTTTGTTTGTAAGTGTAGGATTTTTTGCCACAAAATTTACGGACAAAACTTTCTTTTTTCTTTTCTTTTGCAAATTGGCATTGTCTATGGTATATAGTAAAAAAAAAAAGGATCAAAGGACTCAAACTGCATTTTTAAAAAATTGCAATGATCTTTGTTTGATCTGAGATTTTAGATCAATTTCTAATTTAATAAATTCCTGATATTTATAGAAGTATTTCCATCATTATTACTCCAGTTTTCAGTGTCAAATGATCCAGAAATCATTCCAATAGCATTGTGACATGCTGACCAAGAAGAAGAGGAATAAGTTAAATAAACATACAAACAAACAAATAATTAAAAACTATTGAATCTCAATATAATCTGAAAATTATAAAAAACAAAATAAAGCAAAATTATGAAATGAAAAATTTTGTGTTTTTTTATGTTTGTTTGTTTTTAATTGCGAACAATATAAAAAAATAGCATTAATTGCAGTGTACTTTTTTATTTTATTTTGGCAATATTGTTTGTAAAGAACAAAACATACTGAATCAACATAACTCACTCCTCTTGCAGCAACAACCTGCTGCGATTTTTATTATTTGCATTGATAATTCTCATATACTTCAATTCTTTTTATATTAAATATTTCATATTACAGTGCAGTGAATGAGATTGTTTTGCATTGGGTTGACATTAAAAAAATCTTCAGATGTCATGAGGATCACAATGTCACAATCAAATATGTCTCAATAGGTTTAGTTTCACTGTTCCAGATATAAATTGTCAAATTCTACTTTACAGGTCTATAGCACCAGTTTGTATCAGTTCCTTAAAATGCCCACTTGTTTGAAAAGCTCAAGCAGAGGTTTGACATTTAAAATGTTGCAGATTTTTCCAGCACATTCTTCAACAGCATCCACACCTCACTTCAAATTTGGAGCATCTAATTTACGCCTCCACAATATGCAAGAACTGAAACTCACAGTTTGCTAAAGCTGAGCACAGATAGATTTCACGGAAACATGTCAAATATTAGCTGTTAATTTAACTGTTCGAATCAGAAGTGTGAACTTGAGGAGTTTTGTGAGATCCATGTATTGTTGAAGACATACATTCGGAACGCACCATATTTCCATCCCATTGCAGCTCTTTTGCTGTAGGATTCATTTGCTGTACATTCAAATAAATAAATAGAAATGCAACAGTGCTAAACAAATGCTTATGTCGCATTGCTTCCATCAATATTAAGAAATGACTATTTAACATTTAAAGCAAAAGTAAACGAGGAAAGAAAAATAAAACGCAAATACTGCTCGGACTTCATAGATCTCACAGTGCATCATGTAAAAGCTGCCATGCATGAATACGTGTTCGTAAAGTACGGCTTACAAAGCAGCGTCATTTTCACAGCTGCGCAATACAACTTCCCCAACAATCCAGATGAAATGCCTTCTACCTGCGGGCCGGTCGCAGCCTTCCACAGGTACCTGATATCGCCTTCGTGTCCGTGAGAGGTGATCATCTTTTCGTAGATGCACGGGTGATAGGGCGTTTTCCCCTCACCCGAGAAGTAAACATGTTCCTGAGGCGAGACGCCCGCAGCGATGGCACAGATGCCCATGAAGACGTCATCGATATACATTGAGGCGTTTAGAGACTGCGTGGCCTGGTAGATTTTGGCTGCCACGTCGCCAGAAACGACATACCCGGCGCCAGCAGTGTAATCTGGGTAGGAGGACCACTGATACATATCAAATGGCATATAATACTTGCTGTCCCGCTTCCGAACAGGCGGTGCCCCCCTATGAACGTGGCCGACCCAGAGGTTGCGTACGTTCTGACTTTTAAGCTCCTGGAGGTAGTGCACTAGGTTAGGCACATGGATGAAGACATCATCGTCTGCACTCATAAGGAAGTGGGCATGTGCGCAGTTTTCGTGCGTCCAGCGGAACTGAAGCAGCAGTTTCACAGTGAGGTTGTGGAATGTGTCGAGGAAGTCCTGTTGAATCAGGTCATGGTGGGCCATGTGCTCCTTGCGCAGTTCCCTCTGCATTGTTTTATGTCCCGATCGGTCAGGGCGAACTCCCATAGCAAACACTACCTTGACGACAACACCGAGTTCCTGACTAATATAGGACTCGTTGCCCCAAGTGGAACGTATGGCCTGCCGCCTTTTGAAGTTTCCTGGAGAAGACTTGACAAAGAGCAAAAGCAGGACGTCTTTGTTTTTACAAACGTCCCTGCGGTCAAGCAAATACGGGAAGCTACCAAACCGGGCGGCTTCCTCCGGGCTGACGCTGAGGCTCTTGTTGATGAAGTCGTAGCTGTTGATTAGGTAGCGGTAGGAGTAGGATTTCACATGGCTCACTACGTGATGGTCCACGTGCTCCCAGCAAACCATAAGGACTGACATGACACAGCACATCGAGAGAAGCTGGAGGAAATGCCATTTTTTCACCCTTCTGCAATTCATGAACATTCTGTTAAGCCACACGCACTCTCAAACACCCTTCTCTCTTGTCAAGTCCAATAATGCGCTCCAGATGTGCCGCTCACGATGATTTTCCAGGAAACTGTTTGCCTGAATTCCATCGTAGTCATCTCAGTGTACATGTGTGGGCCTGCCGTACGCATTTACCCAAAGCATTTTCCTCTTTGTGTCCATTTTTTTTCTCTCTTTTTGCAAAAGAAAAATAACAAATGTCTGGCTTAACTTGCTTTTGAAGTGAAGACGCTCTGCTGGGTTGTGTCAACACTGCATTTGGGCTCTGTAAATATAGAAGAAAATGATTTTTAAAAAAAGAGTAGAGGCGCTGAATATAAGCATGATTTATTGTAGTGATTTATTCAGATAACTTCTTTGAGTTACTTTTTGGATGTCCTAAAGTTTTTAAAACTAATAATAATACAGTTTAATAATCATTGAGGCTTGAGAAAGCTACTGAGAATAGACAAAAGACAGGTATCATTTACTCACCCACTATCAATCCTTTGTGAGCTTCTTTTTTTTCTGTCAAACACAAAATAAATTCTTTTTTGTAAGCATTGACATCTACAGCAGTTTTTTTTTTTTTTTGTGCTGTGGAAGTCTATGGTTACATGTTTCAGCTGTATTCAAAGTATATTGTTTTGTGTTCAACAGAAGAAAAAATCATAAAGGTTTGGAACCACTCAAGGGTGAGTTAATAGTGATTCAATTTAAATGTTTAGGCAAGGAAACATTTGGAAAGAGTACAATGAAGGAAATTACTTTTTATTGTAGTCAATTCTAATAAATTGACTCTCATAATTTTTAAATTATAATATTAAGTGTCAATGATAACTAGAATTTTGTAAGTACATATTTAATATTTAAACATTTACTTCATGTAAGAAGTGAAATGAGTGGAAAGAGTTAAATATTATTATATATTTACTCTTAATATTTTCTAATAATTGCAAACCTAGTAATATTAAGTAAGTTTTAATAATGGATTTGTCATAATGGATAGTTCCCGATCATGCTTTGCAAGGGATTCATTTAAAATAAAGTTGTGTTTTTTTTTTTTTTTTTAAATAAAAGCAATCTTAGTTGTTTAAATTTGAGAGAAAGACTTGTTAGAGTTTAACTGTCATTAGTTTGTAGATTAAGAAGATGCTTTGGGTCTTGGCATTTTTATTATCAGCATTAATGTTTGACGCTTCACTCAGAATATCATAGCTGTGCTAATACTATAGCGCTGATATCAGTAAGCATTTATAAAGTAAATTTGTTCTTGCTAAATAAATTTGCTTAAAATAAAGTGAAATAACACATTTCAAGTGGAAATGTGTGCCTTAATTAAACCAATTTGCACCAAATGTACTAATTTGTAGCTAAAAACATTTATTTAAATTGATAAAAGCAACGTTCCTTCTGCTAAAACAAAAAAAATGACATCACTTGGTTCATTTAAATAAATAAAGTCTCAAAAGTAAAGATAATCAATTAACTTTTACTTAACGTTTATCCTAACACTCCTAATTAAATTAAGTAAAATTTACATGATATTGACAATTTAATTGTACCTGATATAAGTTTGTAAAATTTACTTGAATTTTTTTTGTGTGCAAATTGTTACGTAGATTTTTTTTTTAATTTATTTTTGTCAGTGTACAAAAAAAAACATACTCAAGTAAAAGTACCATTACTTGCCCAAAATGGTTACAAATAGAGTAAAAGTACCTGTTGTAAATATTACTCAGAGTATAAGTAAAAAGAATCACTTTTGAAAGTGTGTGTGTAAACGTAACATTCTGTAGTGCATTTAGTGCAAGATTTTGAACATCTTCTTGGACATTTTTAATGCTTCCAAACAGTTTGCTGCATTTATAAAGTGCCCATGTCTTGGGGAAGTTCAGTATGACACGAATTACTTTCTATTTGCAATTTGATTGGACAGGTATCACATGACTGATTTTTCTGTTCAGCCAATCTCCAGACAAGAAAAAAATAAAGTAGTGACTGCAGTTTGAAGAAAAAATAGTGGCGTAAAACTACCGATACAACACTAAAAATGTACTCAAGGGAAAGTAAAAGCACACATTTTTAAAACTACTTTGTAAATTACAATTCCTGAGGAAATGCTACTCAATTACAGTAATTTAAATATTCATAATTTGTTACTTTTCACTATTGTGTTTAGATAAACTATGCCTTTAAGTAATCTAATAGAGCGCAACACTAAAATAAAGGATGGAAGGAAGTAGCAGACGCTATACTGAACATACAGTAGTATTTGAGCATGCTGAAATCCTGAAGTTTACCTAAACTTGAAATGATCTGAGATGAACATTTCTGATTACTGGAGTTTTAAAGCTATGGAATAGATCTTCAAACCATTTTGCAGCTTGCTAATTAAATTATTAAAATAACTATTTTATACTTTAGCAGAATGTTCTAACATCAAAAGGCTGTCATTTATAAAGCTTTGATTAGAAACCTTTCTAAAAGTGAATGCACTTCAGTACATTTTAATGTAGTATTATTGCCTTTATGGTTATGTACAGTAGTTCAATGAAGTTAATATTGAAGTTAAATCTGTTTTCACACCTAGTTTGTGCCAAGCCACACTTATAAATGAGACTCTCTAACCGACAAAATTTCTAATTTAAACTCCCACAGAAGACATTTACCTTTTGCTGCTTTACAGTTTGTCTACTTGTACTGTTTCCTAAAATCTTGCACACACTGTCTACTCATCATTAATGGTCTGTTATTTTTCTTAGTCACTGTACATGCCCTGTTAATTATCATTAACCTAAATATTAATCGTTCAAAGCCCCTTGCCTAAGTCCATTTAACTGGTAATGCCTTTGCATACTGTTATTCAGAATTAATTTTTTTTGTATTCATATTTGAAACGCGTCTCTCACAGAAATCTTCCACACCGAGTGTGGTGCATATTAAATAATTAACTGTGGAAAAAAACAAAAAAGCAATTCAATTCAGTCAGTGATGCTTTTGTTCTCCTCTCTCTTTTTCAAAAAAAAAAAAAAAAGAAGAGGAAAGAGGAAATATTGCGCTGCACGCAGAAGAAGAAGAGTTCACCTGTGCATCATTTTGCCGAAATGCTAAGTTAAGTTAAGGAAATGAGCACTTTGATACCTTGCTTGTGACCTATACAGCAACCACAACACAAATTTCCATAAACAAATTCTGAACAGAGATTGGTGACATACTGTCGGTATGAACACACACACAATTGACAAACAGCTGCATGGGAAAGGAAGTACACTAGCAGGCTCTGAAAGCAGCATACAGCAGTCTACAGCTATATATATATATATATATAGCTATATATCTATGTTTATATACGCTCTTGTTTGTAATAATGTGCTCCGCATGCTGCAAGTGACCGCATTCTGGATTTTGACTTTCTACAGTGGCTCTGAATTGCCCAAACACCTCTTAAAGCCTCTTTATAGATGCGAAAAACACAAAGAAAATGAATGTAAAAAGTTCTGGAGACCGAGTGTAAATGTGATTACACAGCTTGAAGTCAGTGTTGAATGTGTGAAAATTGTGAACGAACATTTTGGATTCAGTGTAAAATGACAATTAGTTTTGCTTAATACTATATGTCCGTCCGTTCGTCTGTCTGTCTGGTTGACTATCTGTGGATCCGTCTGTCTATCCGTCTGTCTATCCGTCTGTCTATCCGTCTGTCTATCCGTCTATCTATCTATCTATCTATCTATCTATCTATCTATCTATCTATCTATCTATCTATCTATCTATCTATCTATCTATCTATCTATCTATCTATCTATCTATCTATCTATCTATCTATCATCTATCCATCTATCCATCTATCCATCTATCCATCTATCTATCTATCTATCTATCTATCTATCTATCTATCTATCTATCTATCTATCTATCTATCTATCATCTATCTATCTATCTATCTATCTATCTATCTATCTATCTATCTATCTATCTATCTATCTATCTATCTATCTATCTATCTATCTATCTATCTGTCTATCCATCCATCCATCCATCCATCCATCCATCCATCCATCCATCCATCCATCCATCCATCCATCCATCCATCCATCCATCCATCCACGACCTCGTTTAAACACTTTTAAATGTCATGCTATTAAAACTGCTTCAAAATATCCCGTCAGACTTTTTTGAAGCCATTATCAATGATTATTCAATGAATAAAAACTTCACAAAAAGGAAATCAGCATTTATTTAAAATATAAACCCTTTGTAAGACTTACTGTCAATTTTGTTTGAGTTAGTGTCCATCTCGAATAAAAATATTTACTTTTATTACATCTCTAATATTGTTTTAAAAAGGTTCTATTAGTTGGTGTTAGTTCATGTATTCACTAACATGAACAAACAAAGAACAATAAACTTTTTAAAGTGTTGATTCGTCTTCTTTTGACTTTAGTTCATGCAAAGAAAGTTTTCATTGTTAGTTGGTTATCTCACAGTGCATTAGCTAATGTTAACAAGTAGGAATGTGGATTTGTATAACGCATTAGTATTGTTTAACTATAATTCAATTAAATTCTATTCATCTTTAATTCTATTGCGCTTTTATGATAGATAGTGTCAAAGCAGCTTTACATAAAGATCTAGTAAATTGAAACTGTGTCAGTTCAGTTTTCAGGGTTGAAGTTCAGTTTCGTTCAGTTCAGTGTAGTTTAATTTTCACTGCTGAAAGTCCAAACACTGAAGAGCAAATCTGTTGATGATTGATAAATGCTGCACAAATATTATTCATTATTAGTTCATGCTTGGGAATTTAATAATTAACATTAACTAATGAAACCATATTGCAAAATGTGATCCATTTGATTAATAGAAATATCAAAAGAACAGCGTTTGTTTAAGATATACGTAAAATATACGTTCGAATGCACGTTCAATAAAATTCTTTGTTTATTTTGTTGCAAACATTTAATGAATATGACTTTTAAAAGATTTAAAATATTAATATATTTTTTAAGCTGTCACTTTTGATTCAATTAATGTGTCTGTATTGAAAAAACATATTCATTTTATTGCATATAATTGCACAACTGTTGCCATAAATATTAACGGTATGTATTTTATATAGATATATGTACTAAAATAAATACTTTATGCTACATATATTTATATTTGCCAAGTGTACAGTATATATTTGTTTAAATCATGTCAGTCATGACTGGTAACACTTTAATTTAGTACCAATCCCCATCATTAATTACTGGCTTATTAATAATATACATTAGTACTAATAAATTAAGATCTTGTTTTACATTCCCAAATTTATTCACTGAAAAATTTATTCACTTTTTTGGGGTACAACTTAAATGTTTTATGTTCAATTCACTTAAATTTGTAAAACCATTTATTTAACTTTAAGTTGGGACAACATGAAGGAATTGTACCTCACTAACAATTACTAAGCAGTAAACAGATTAAGCTAAAAGTCTTAGTTGTCTGTTAATACAAAATTGTCCTTAAATAAAGTGTTACTGTCTATACTCCAGCTTTTTGCTTTCATAACAGCATTCCTCTTTCACAAATGCAGGCTGTTTACCGCAGTTGCTGCGAGACCTCATTCAAAACCTTGACCATGAAGGGGGAAACCCGCTCACGAATCGATCTAGTGAATGAAAGCAATCGTCAACTCAGCGCTACGTTGAATAAAGGCAGGCTTTAAACCACCGAACAAGCCGATCTGCTGAGTGCTGTACAAAACATTCACAGCCACCAAAAGATCATTACAGCAGAAAATCGACTCAAAAGGCGCGACACAACAACAATGAAAGTCACAATATCACACACCCTAAACCAGTCGAGTTCCCGGAGCAGCAGGGATCATCTGTCAAACTGGATCACCTGCTCACACCAGCCGGGCTGTGCAGTTATTCAGTTTCGCAGTAGGCTATGGTTAGCAACCGGCCCCTTTTTCTCACCCTATTTTAATCAAAACGTGTCTAAAAGTGGAAGTCATTACACTGCAAAAGATAATTTTCTTGCTTTGAGTTGTCCGTCTCATTTCTAGTTCAGATATTTAACAATTCTTCAATCAAGAAGCATTTTATGTATTTATATTAATATAATTTTATCAATTGTTTTGTTTCAGGAATAATGTTTTTACTTAAAATAATCTTACAATGGGGTAAGAAAAAGATCTCTAAATGGCGCTACGAAAATATTCTTATTTCAAACCCAAAACCTTTTAATTGACTTATCCCAGTGGTAGATTATTGAGCTTGTTTTAAGGAAAAACACATATAATTTTTACTCATTATTTCTGAAAATAAAACATTTTTTTTTTACTTATCTATAAAATGCTTCTTGATTTAAGAATTGTTTGATATTTTGGCCAGAAACATGAAAGCTTTAAGAAAGATCTTCTTTTTTTTTGCAGTTCTTTATCGAGCAATCACTTTAATAATAACAATATTAAATTTACATATATTTAAAAAAAAAAAAAAAGAATGTGTGTTTCGTTATACATCAAAAAAAGTAAATGAATCTAGTTTGCTACCTTTATTCACCTCGCATATGACTTTTCTGAATACCTCACCAACTTTGTCTAACATATAAAGTCATTCAATGATTTCAAAACTCCCTTGAATTAAATTAAATTAAGTTTAATCCACTTTATCTCAGCGATCACTCTAATCTTTCTATCTTGCAGTGTTATCAGCAAATGTTTCTCATATTTGACATTGGTTAAATATCATAAAATTTCCATGATAGTCTCTTAAGAGACACTCTTTTATGAGAAACTCCTCAACTAAACTATTTTTAAAATAGCACATCTAATCATGTGACTTATTTCATGGGAAAGAACTTACATTCAGTACTCAAACTCCACAGTTGCAGTGTAAATTTAGCATGAGGACTCTAATGCTTGACATACCAGTGGAAAGACATTTTGTACTTGGCTTTGAGAAGTTAAAACAAACTCTAAGCTAAAACTTTTAAGTGAACTCTAAATAAATGACTCACCATTGAGACCGTAGCCCATCCATGATGTAATTCAAATGTAGAAGTGTTTTTTTTTTGTTGTTGTTGTTGTCAAAGCCCTGGATTTCAGTTGTTGTGGAAGGACTGAAAGCAGAAGTGCAACTACTAGCGGAGCTTGTATTTGAAAGGGAGTGTTGGGGTGGGAGGAGGAAAGTACATCCCTTTACATGGGATTGGCCAACTTTATCATATGAACAAACTGTGAAAAGAGAGACTTCTCTGATAGGGACGTGGAATTTAAGTCATCTGATTCAAATAAGGAGTATGCACCTCCTCGGGACAATAAATGTAATTCATCTGCCTTGGTCTGTAATAGAGGAGAAATGGTTAGGATAAAATAAAATCTAATTCCTGCAGGGGTGTTTTAGCGGCTTGCGCATGAGAGGTAGTTAACAAATTGAGTTGAAATTTGGAGTTTAGACATGGTGAAGTATTTGTTAGTGAATTGCACCTACAAACTTGTTACTGTAAGTGTTAACAGTGACTATTGACATGCAGTTGAAATCAGAATTATTAGCCCCTTGTTTATTTTTCCCCCAATTTCTGTTTAATGGAATGATTTCTTTCAACACATTTACAGTATAAACATAATAGTTTTAATAACTAATTTTTAATAAAGGAGTTATTTTATCGTTGGCATGATGACTACATAATATTTTACTAGATGTTTTTCAAGATATTAGTATTCATATGTACAGTTGAAGTCAGAATTATTAGCCCTCCTATTTCTTTTTAATGGAGTGAAGATTTTTTTTCAACACATTTCTAAACATAATAGTTTTAATAACTCATTTCTAATAACTGATTTGTTTTATCTTTGCCATGATGATAGTAAATAATACTTGATTAGATATTTTTCAAGACACATCTATACAGCTTAAAGTGACATTTAAATGCTTACTTAGGTTAAATAGGTTAACTAGGCAAGTTGGGGTAATTAGTGATCATATAACACTGGTTTGTTCTGTAGACCAGGGGTTTCCAAACTCTTCAACCCGCGACCCCTAAAATGACAATGCCACTGATTCACGACCCCCAAATTCCTCTGAGGTGGTTATAAATATACAATCGTTGCGCACACAACAATAGACCTATTTAAACTCGAGCATATTAACAACACAAAAAAGTGCAACAGTCTAACAACCATATAATTTATTAATGTTACAACCTCTTTGATGTTAGTCTGGGGTAAAAGTAATAACATTTAAAAGATGTGGTACTTTCACAGGTGATGGGCGCAAGCAGAAGACACAAACAACAAAATTGCCAACAAAAGAGATTTAATGTACAAAAAAGTGAAATCAGAGTAATTGTATGTATGTGTATATATATATATATATATATATATATATATATATATATATATAAATACACAAAAAGAAGAAATATTTACAATAATAATAAGAAAGTAGCAAATTAAAACAAAGTATCAAACAAAATTAGGTCAACTCAAGAGTAAGGGGACACTAGTAAAGCCAAGCCAAAGAAATAAATATAACAAAACAAATCTAACTCATAAACAAACCCCTTACCTCGCTAGAAGCATAAAATGAAAAAGAAAAGTGTTCAGCGCCATAATCTTTCCTATACTGATTACTGAACTATATGAAACAAAATAAATACACAGATGGCGTTCACTTCTTACCTAGTGTTTTAAACAATGGATTGACTATGTGTCTGCAAAATGGAAGTCGTACGACCTCTTCCCTATCCACCTTACTCTGAGGAAAAGTGTGAACTTGAATTATTTCAATTATTTATCGAGTAAGAGCTGAGCCAGAAAGTATCAAACAAAACAATCGAAATTAAGATGTGCAAAAAATCACAAAGTAGCTCAAAAATGGGCAGAAATAATACAAAATCATTTCATCCAAATGAAAGTTATGCAAAAACAACGAATAACAAAACCGTGTCTGCAAAAAACACAAAAGCGGGATCAAAGGAAAAGCGCCTCCACCCGCTCTTCCTGGCGCCCTTTTATATGACAGCTCCACGTCGCCCAATGATGATTGGTCTCCCGACCAATCGGCTGTCACGAAGGCGGACTTAAAGGATATAACAGGCTGAGAGATATAATATACGGCAACCGTAATAATGAATTTGTTTAATTTAAATTTAACTTCAGCTAAAGAGACTATCTTTGGTTTAGTTTTGTAGACAGCCAATCAGAGATTGTTCTTAATATTCAGTTGTGGCCTGTATTTATTTTTAATGTATTTGATTGCCATAAAGATGTCAGGAACTTGAACCTGGTGCTATAAAATCAATTTGCTGCAGCTGACGCTATTGCTGTGTTGTTAATCTAATGTAAAAACGGAAAAAATTATTTAAAGGCTGATGGCTTTTCACTTGCATGTTGTTGTTTTTTTAATATTGAAAGCTATTTTTTTTTATCATTTATAGTTAAAATATGGTAATTCTTGTACTTTAATTAAATTAATTTGACTTTTTGAAATCACAAATCAAAATTGTCATTGTCACACAACCCCCACTTTGGGAACCACTGCTGTAGACAATCCGAAAAAAATGCTTAAGGGGGCTAATAATTTTGACCTTAAAATGGTTTTAAAATATTCAAAACTGCTTTTATTCTAGCTGAAATAAAACAAATAAAACTTTCTCGAGAAGAAAATATATTATATAAAATACTGTCAAAAATTTCTTCCTCTGTTAAACATCATTTGGGAAATATTTGAAAATGAAAAATATTACAGGAGGACAAATAATATTGACTTCAACTGTATATGGAAACTGAGTTGCCCTTTTGTTTGTCATGTCAGTTCTCTGACTTTTAGCTTAGATTTAGCTTTAGATTTTTTTTTTATCATCCTTTGTGGTCATTTCTTAAGTCATGTGTTGTGAGTCATGTTCACACTGAAGACATTGTTTTTTCGGTCACATTGTGAAATCATTGTATGAAAATATACTGACATTTTCTTCTCTCTCTTAACAGTCACATTATGAATGAACTAATTGAGACGGAAAGGCTGTATGTGGAAGAGCTGCAGAGCATCATAGAGGTACATTAATCTGAACACAGCAAACAGAAAATGGCTAAATTGCAAAACAAAGGGCTTCACACACACTTGTACTATATAGATATGACAATTTTTATACAGTACAAACTATATTTCATCCACCTATTCCAACAACAAAAACACAATTCTCACAGTTAGGGATCTGCATTTTTACTTGTTCAGAATATTTCATTATGTGTCATTCATGAGCCATTTTCCTCATAAGGACAAAAAGGTCAAAATTTACCAGTATTGCTATACATGTGAGGACATTTGGTCTTCACAACATTACAAAATACTGGTACACACATGCATGCTTGTTCTTATATCCCAGAAGGGACATTAGACGTAATAATGTTTATGCTACAATTTGTCACGGTGGCGCAGTGGGTAGTATGTTCACCTCACAGCAAGAAGGTTGCTGGTTTAAGCCTCGGCTGAGTCAGTTGCCATTTCTGTGTGGAGTTTGCATGTTCTCCCCGTGTTCGTGTGGGTTTCCTCCAGGTGCTCCGGTTTCCCCCACAAGTCCAAAGACAAGCGCTATAGGTGAATTGGGTAAGTTAAATTGTCCGTAGTGTATGTGTGTGACTGGAAGTGTATGGGTGTTTCCCAGTGATGGGTTGCATCTGGAAGGGGATCCACTGCGTAAAACATGCTGGATAAGTTGGCGGTTCATGCTGCTGTGGTGACCCCCAGATTAATAAAGGGACTAAGCCAAAAGGAAAATGAATGAATATTGTATATTGTTCTAACTGCTACTCTTAAACCCAAACCTAACAAGAAACAATCTGTATTTTTATTTTAACATTTTTTTAAATATATTTAATCATGTGCGATTTACAAATATGTTTACCCAAGGGCTCCTTAATTTAGGTCATAGTGACACAAGTTCCCACAAGTCTGTGTGGATTCATGTTTAAGTCCCCACTATGATATAAAAACAAGTAAATTAGAGTAGTCAAACTAAATGTTTGAAGTGTAGTATTTGCTTAAAAATACAGATCAGGAAATGTACTTGTCAAGTAAATAAAGTTTATTGTAGGTAAGTTAACCACAGCTGAAGATACACATTTTAAAGGGTGTCATTCATATTATTTATGTACATAGTGATTCAAGCTTTCATGCTGACTTTCATTCACATTTAATACATCAATTACTAAAGATGCTTTATTAATTATATACAATTTTAGGTTGTTTTAATTAAATCATTGTCACCCTTTTCTAGTAAACAGATCAAACAGTGTTCAAAACAATGTAAATCTCAAAACATACATCAGCTGTAAAGGCAAGAATGTTTTTATGGTTTTGGCTGTGTTTGTTTTGGTGTGCTTTCTGCAGGGCTATGCCGCGGCACTCGATGACCCAGAACTCATCTATCTGATCCCACCATCCCTGGAAAACAAGAAGGAAGTTCTCTTTGGAAATCTGCCAGAAATTTACCAATTCCACCAGAAGTAAGGAAACTGTTTTTGGCACCAGTACTGTCATTTCCACCTAAAAGGCATGCTGTTACAGTAGGTTTCCATCTGCTCAGAATTAGTCATTGCTTAATCTGAAGTGTTTCATGTAAAGAGAATGACTTGTTAGAGTTTATTCTTCCTTTATTTCGGAAATGTAGCCAGTTTAAATTAAGCTTTTGAGATTACAGCTATGCAGAAGAGTATAGTATATTCGCTCATGCTTAGGATGCTGTAGGCTTTATTAACATCAATTTATTACAGTTTTTGTCAATTAATTAATTTTCCTAAAAAGTTTATTAGGTTTTAATAGGTTAATTAAAATTATTAGGTGTATAAATTTGAATAAATATTCACAAAATATTTATATTTATATATTTAACTATTTTTATACATATATATATATATATATATATATATATATATATATATATATATATATATATATATATATATATATATATATATAGCTTAAAGGGGCTAATAATTTTGACCTTAAAATAGCTTTTAAAAATTTAAATCTGCTTTTATTTTAGCCGAAATAAAACAAATAAGTTTTCCAGAATAAAAAAATATTATCAAACGTACTGTTAAAATTCCCCTGCTCTGTTAAACATCATTTGCGAAATATTTGAAAAAAATAAATAAATAAAATGGGGGCTTATAATTCTGACTTCAACTATATCTTTTAAATGTTTTAAAGAAAACTTAAAGTCTTCTTTTATATTATATTATATTATATTATATTATATTATATTATTATATTATATTATATTATATTATATTATATTATATTATATTATATTATATTATATTATATTATAATTTACATACAAGAACAATAACAAGAGAACTTGATGAGGATGTTACTGCTTCTCTGTTCTCTGTTTCATTATGCTGTGTGCTGAAAGTGAAAGGTGACCAAAAACTGCACTTCATTTTCATAATCATATTTTAGCATAATTTCCTTTTATTTTCATATAACAAAACTAAACAGAGACCCAAAAAAGAGATCATATAATATGTGAGTCATAATTATAGTAAATTACACCAATGCTGGTTTGTTACTCACCCCTGATGATCTGCCAGCCAGAAACCAACTAGTATCCCGAAACCCAGCTAACAGCATGAGCTAGATTTTCCAGAAAAGACAGCACCCTTTTTTCCAGTATAAACCAGCCCCTCCCCCATAGTCGTTCCCACATTCCTGACATGGCATTTGGGACAACTGGTTGGGCTAGTTTTTTTTTCTTTTTTTTTAAAATAGTACTCTGATATTTCCCTGTAGTGTAAACTGGAAACACCCACAACACTATATAAGGAAGTGAACCATTTTTTTTAGGTAAGCCTATAATGATAAAGAGGAACAATGGTGTGTCTGGTTTGTTGTGGGTGGTGATAATAGTTTGTAAGGTCAGTGTGGCTAATAATCCATATGGTTTGGCAGTCCCGTTGTTCAGCTGGCCTCATGCTAGTGGTTATTACTCTAGAGTTCATTGTTTCCAATGTGGCATCGAGTTACATGGGATTTTGACAATAACATCCCCCAGAGCTTTTGTTGTGCGTCGTTTCTCAGCACCTGTTTCTAGCACGTCAATCAGGTGCGGATAAACAACATAGCGCCATTGTCTATCAGTACCCGCTGTAGCCTTGGATTTGACCTTATTGCAGACATTGAAACACGAGCATGTCATCATTTCAGTTATGAAGCCAGGGCATTGTCGATGGCTTATGTATTTGTTGATATTAGACAGTTTGTTTTGATTTGAACTGATGGAAATGAAAGATTTCCTCATAAAAATGTATGTATTTGGTGAATAAAAAAGAATAGGCATATAATTCTGCCATCAGCCCTTCACTCTTATGTGGGTTTCCATCTATTATTGTGTTGAATTAATTTATTTTTTATTATTATGCCATACAAAAGGTAAACTTTAGGAGAATGTAAATGCTACTCTTTTCCATATAGAGAAAATGAAGCCTTCGGAAAATGAGAAATCTATTCTCTGAAGTTATTAACAGGCATGTGTTTTGAGTTAAATACTAATTTGTATTTGATTTGATGAATTGCTGATAATCTGTCGTCATCTTCAAATAAGAATATTAGTGTTTCTATGTTTTATTTGCAGAAAAATGTCAACAAATGTTAACATCAGATCAGACCTTACATATACACAGTAAACATCTGTTAATTAACTATTTGCAGTTAAAAATTGCATGTGGGACCTTGATTTCTGCTCTGTCAACTTTTGATGTTGAAAACTCAGTGCCCCAGTTTAGCAGAACGGCCTTTATTGATGTTTTAATAGTTTAAACAGTATATTTTATACAGTGGGCGAAATATGTATTTAACATTTCACCATTTTTTTCTCAGAAAACATATTCTAAAGGTGCAGTTGACTTGAAATTTTTACCAGATATTCGTAACAACCAAAGGAATCCAATATGTAAAGAAAACAAATCTAATTAGCTTACAAATTAAGTTCTGTGTAATAACATGAAACAACACTGGAAACCATAATTAAACACATGAAGAAAGGGAGGTGTAGAAAGGCAGTGAAAGCCCAGACAGCAGCTGAAATCTGTCAGAAGATATTCAGCAACCCTCTGCCCTTCATCAGTGTAAATCAGCTGCTTCAGTCCAACATCTGCATTACCAGGATGATGAAGATGAAACCAGGGTGGACATTACATCTGGAAAATGATCCAAAACACAGCCAAGAAAACTCCTAAATGCTTTTGAAAAGGAAAATCAAGCTGTAGAATGGCCCAACCAATCACCTGATTCAAATTCAATAGAGAATACAAAATAAACCTTAGATTTAATAGACGAAACCCAGAAGACTTTTAGACCCTGTTAAAGTCTGTGAAAAAATCAATCCTGCGCAATTCATATGACTTCATTCTCCATACAAGAGTCGACTTTAAGCTGCCATATATAATAGTTTGTTTTGAAATAATATGTGTGTATTCTATATATGTATTATGTATTTGTGATATGTGCTAAACACATACATAAAATCAAAATAATTTTGTTACATAGATATTTATATATAATTTGTAGAATATGCATATGTTTTATACCTTCATTTAAATTTACATTTTCTCAGATATACAGTATGCATGCGTTAGTGTATTTATATATAAGTAATACATTTACACAATACACACACACACACACACACACATTGGGCCCTATCATACACCCGGCACAATGTGGCGCAAGGCGCAACGCAATTGTTGTTTGCTAGTTTCAGCTTGGCGCAAGAGTCGTTTTGCGCCACGCTGTTTAAATAGCAAATGCATTTGCACTCATATGTGCGCCCATAGGCGTTGTGATCTAAAAAAGGAGGGGTGTTGAGGCGCATTGCTTGCACGTTGCTATTTTGAGAAACTTTAATAGACTTCTATAGAACAGAACAAAGCTGGTCTAAAGTCCAGCGCAGAGCGCGTTAGTTGTGCGCCTCCGTTGCACATTTCTTAATACAAACAGGATGTACAACAATATGCAAATATCTTTACATATAAAAAATAATTAAAATATTATGGATATATATATATATAGGATATAAATATAAAGGATTAAAATTTTACAAAACAAATTATTTTCTAGCTTAAATATAAACACCATACTTTCATGCCTTCTTTATCTCTTCTTTATCTTTATCTCAATTTGCTTTTGTATAATGTTATTATTATTAAAAGTATTATTTATTTTATGCATGTTTATATTTGTTTTATAAAAAACAAGCTTAGATTTGCCCACCTGTCAGGTTTTAGACCATATGGGGCACAGCATGTGTATTTTAAAATAACTCAGTTTTTTGGCCACACTTTATTATTATTGTTCATTTATTCGTTTGCTGGAAACTAGAACTGAATTTAGACATAGTTTTAAAACATATCTTTGCCCTTAACAAACAAAAATAATTATCTATAGGCTAATAGATGTGCATACAAGAAGTTTCCCATTTCCACAAGAGTAAAAGTGAAAGTAAAATTAAAATTATAAAGAAAGTAAGCTCAACTCCGATTTTACCGTCTTTATATTAGCAAAAGTGGATTCTGACACACCCCTAATGCGTTTGCGCCTTGCGCTTTGCACTTTGTGCATGGATTGTCAAAATAGAACCCTTTATGTCAAAAAACTTTTATTTTGCATGCAATTAATCATGATTCATTTTATCAGCACTAATAAATACACAAAATAGAAAAAAAAGTTTTTGTATCATAATTTAAAACACTTATACAGACAATATATCTCTAGCTATTCAAAATGTTAATAAAACTTTTTTCAAACTTTTCAACATCAAAAGTTGTGGGAGAAAAGATAAAGGTCCCATAATGCAATTTAAAAGCATGACAAGCATAAAAACATCTGTTACAAAATATGGAAGACTGCTAATTTTTGTATAATATTTTACAGTAATGTAATATATAAATATGCAGGTAATATACAAATATTTAACCTGTATAAAGGTCTTTATATAATAATAATAATAATAATAATAATAATAATAATAATAATAATAATAATAAATGAGCAAATATGAATAAAGTATTTAATATATAATTGATGACCGACCATTGAACTTTTAGGAAATGGTGCAAAACTGAGGTGTGCCAGTGGTGCATGTGTTACACCTCGAGTGTGCATTATTTTGTAACAATGCAATGAACCGGAGTCAGTTGTTCCACTTTTACTACAGTACAGTTACCACACCTAATGACATTGTTCAGATGTTGTATTTCAAGACTTTGACATGTTTATGCCCTTAGGGTAATTAGGAAAATTATTGGATAAACTGCTTTTATTCTAGCCATAATAAAACAAGTAAGACTTTCTCCAAAAAGAAAAATATTATCAGACATGGTGTGAAATTTTTTTTGCACTGTTAAACATTATTTGGGAAATATTTAAAAAAAGAAAAACATTTAAAGGAGGGCAAATAATTCTGACTTTAACTGTATATTAGAATCAAACCTTCATATAGTTATATTATCCATAGTATAATCATTATTGTTAACCAGTTGTATTTCACATTTTAACTTATCTCAGTTAAGTTTTAAATGTAATATAAATACAATATATACATATAATAGATCAAATTAATTATTTAAAACTAAAGGAGAAGACCTGTATTGTAATATAATGCAATTTAAACAGCAGAACTTTAAGAGAATGGTACTGCTTTACAAGTAAATGGTAAACAAACAAACAAAAAAGACTCGACAGCAGTCTGTTTTTTTCTATTAGAGCATTTGGAAAATATTTTCTAATGCATTTGGAAAATATGAGAGAGAGAATTCACATCATTGGACACTTTCAAATATCTTCTACACATTCTTGGGCTAGGCATTACTCATTTCCAAACCTTGTGGACTCTCTCTGCCTGTTGACCTCTCTTTTCTTTGGCTTGTTTATTTAGTCTCTCATTTTTTAAATGATGTTTTGACAGGATATTTCTCAAAGAGCTGGAAAATTCTGCCGAAAAGCCGGAGTTGGTGGGAACATGTTTTTTGAAGCGGGTGAGTTGAGGTTTGACATACAGTACAACTAAAAGTATGTGAAATAGGATATAAAGAGCTGGAAAATTCTGCTTAAATGCCAGCGTTGGCAGAGATGTAGTTTGGGAAACAGGAAAAATGAAAGCATGAGAAATGAGATCCTAATACTTGTCTCGATCTGCTGTCTTACAGAAAGAAGAGTTGCAGATTTATGAGAAATATTGTCAGAATAAGCCACGCTCTGAAGCTTTGTGGCGGCAATGCGGGGACAGTATGTTCTTTCAGGTAAGGCCAATGTGTACAGTATACTATTAAAGAGGTTTGAGTTTAGTAAGATTTGGTCATATTTTTGAACGAAAAAAATTTCTTAAAATTGATGATTCAATTGTATGATTGAAATACAGTAAAAATGTTAAATATTGTAGATATAATGGCAAAGCTCAATTTTGTGCATAATTTCTGCAGTTTTCAGTGTCACATGATCTTTAAAAATTATTATAATATTGTATAATGATTATAATACTATGTTAGTTGTTTAAGATAGATTATTATTGTTGTTGTTATTATTATTATTATTATTATTATTATTATATTATTAATAATTTTTAAATGTATTTATTAATATTGTTACAACATTCTTCAACAGAAAATTGAAATTAACAGCTTTTACTTGAAACGTGTGTGTGTGTGTGTGTGTGTGTGTGTGTGTGTGTGTGTGTGTGTGTGTGTGTGTGTGTGTGTGTGTGTGTGTGTGTGTGTGTGTGTGTGTGTGTGTGTGTGTGTGTGTGTGTGTGTGTGTGTGTGTGTGTGTGTGTGTATATATATATATATATATATATATATATATATATGTATATATATGTATATGCAGGGCTTTACATAGACACCCTCCAATCTGCCAAATGCGGGTAGATTTCAGCTCTCAGTTAGCTTCGCAAAGCCTACAGCGATCGAATTTTAGGGACTACAAAAAAGTACTTCCGGGCCTGTGAGATCACAAAATTACTTTTACCGCGCACACACACTGCGCAGCTAAGGGGCGTGGCCAGAGGTGCTGTAATGTTAGAGGGAGCTAGAATGCTGTCCAAACGCTGCTATTTCCACAGAGCTTCTTCTGTTTTCTGTATTTGGGCTTCCAAAGGACACGGCACAAAGACCAAAGTACTTAATGTTTAATATTATTTATGATCCAGAGAATTATAAAATACATAGCAAGCATCATTTGACAAAACACAGCTTCAGAATCTCTCCTTGTTCAGTGCTGGACTGGGTTAAAATCTCCTCAAGGAGCAGCTCCAACAAGCAGAAGCTGTGAACTCTGAGCCACAACCTGTAAGTGTTTTATTTGTTAAAATTGATCATGACATGTACAGTGTCTCGCCTTAACGTTATGTTGTAGCAAGGATGTAAACAACGGGAAATTATGTTAGTCACCGCTAATGATTTAGCTACAAATTCATATTTATCAGTCAAACCACTGTACACACACACACACACACACACACACACACACACACACACACACACACACAGACTCTTCACTCTTCACCAGCGCATGCGTGTCTTTCTATAAGGCACTTTTCCTGCGTTTTACATCTCAGATAATGAACTCGCAAAAGATATGTGAAATAGTCATATTACTTATACATGCATATTCCAAATATATGTGAAGGACGTCGTGTAATGCATTGAGTAAAAAAAAAATACAGGGGAGCTTACCTAACTCATGTAGCAGCAGAAAAATCAATCAAGGCTCACACAGGTCACATCCAACATCTTGTGCTTTATTCTTCTGTCACCGGTGTCACTGTATATTACAGAAAATAACTTAATCCAGGCGTGTCCAAACTACGGCCCGCGGGCCATCTGCGGCCCGCAATCAGTTTTGTGGCGGCCCGCGAGGCTTTTTATAAATATCAATAGAATCTGGCCCGCTATACAAAAATGAACGTAATTCAATAAATAACCACCAGGTGTCGCTATTACATGCATTCAATTAAGCAGCAGTTCTTGTTATGATCTATCTATCTATCTATCTATCTATCTATCTATCTATCTATCTATCTATCTATCTATCTATCTATCTATCTATCTATCTATCTGTCTGTCTGTCTGTCTGTCTGTCTGTCTGTCTGTCTGTCTGTCTGTCTGTCTGTCTGTCTATCTGTCTGTCTATCTATCTATCTATCTACACACAGTTGAAATCTGAATCATTAGCCCCTCTTTGATTTATTTCTTCTTTTTTAAATATTTCCCAAATGATGTTTAACAGAGCAAGGACATTTTTACAGTATGTCTGATAATATTTTTTTCTTTTGGACAAAGACTTTTGTTTTATTTTGGCTAGAATAAAAAGCGGTTTAAAATTTTTTTATGAACCATTTTAAGGTCAAAATTATTAGCCCCTTAAGTCTTCAGAACAAACCATTGTTATAAAATAACTTGCCTAATTACCTTAACTTGACTAGTTAACTTGATTAACCTAGTTAAGCCTTTAAATGTCACTTTAAGCTGTATAGAAGTGTCTTAAAAATATCTAGTCAAATATTATTTACTGTCATTATGGCAAAGATAAAATAAATCAGTTATTAGAAATGAGTTACTAAAACTAATATGTTTAGAAATGTGTGGAAAAAAAATCTTCTCTCCGTTAAACAGAAATTGGGGAAAAAATAAACAGGGGCTAATAATTTAGGGGGGCTAACAATTCTGACTTCAACTATATATATATATATATATATATATATATATATATATATATATATATATATATATATATATGTGCGTGTGATGTATGTAAAATTTGGCCCGCGACAACGTTTGTTTTTTTGCATCTGGTCCTCGGCCCAAAAAGTTTGGCCACCCCTGACTTAATCTAAGCATCAGAGAAAAATTAAAATAAACATTGGTCCCGTGCACATGCGCTTCTCGTGTTACACGCATCTACAGACAGTTCACACACATACAAACAGCACACACACAAATATAGATACACACACACACACACAATGGCAAATTCTCTTAAAGGAGCCGCACCCCATTTTCACTCGTTACAGACGCTTGTCAGATTTTATTTTAGAGAGCGGGAATGAAATTGACTGCCTGTTTACACAGCACAAAACGCGTGTGATTGTACGGGCGTGACTTGGAGCCGATCTGCGAATCGCAGCACATTATGACACAAGACCTATCAGAGTTACTTGAGGGCGGGCCTTTCAGAGGAACTAGGAAATATGACAGTCGTTTTCATGTTAGCTGACTAGCTGTGTTTAATCAACCTGAGATTTATGAAAAAATAACGGGATTTCCTTTAAGTGAAACATGAGCACACATTGCTTTGCATCTTATTAACACAACCAAGCCTTAAAATTACATTCTTTACCACCCCTTTAAGCCAAATGGTTTATTATTATTATTATTATTTATTTATTTGTTTTTTTTATGTGAAATCAAATAATTGCTTAAAAATTGCTTAAAAAATGTTAATTGTTTTAATGTAAATTGTTAAATGGTTCAAGAAATAGTGAGCCACACAATTTAAATATTTTTGTTTTAATACGCAAGAGCAAGAGCACGCTACAAACATCACTACTGAAATTGTACCTTTTTGAAAGACGTTTGGGTGAGGCAGTGGAACAGTAGGTAGTGCTGTCACCTCACAGCAAGAAGGTCACTGTGAATGTACAGGTGAATTGGGTAGGCTAAATTGTCCATAGTGTATGAGTGTGTGTGTGAATGTGTGTGAGGATGTTTCCCAGAGATGCGTTGCGGCTGGAAGGGCATCCTCTGCGTAAAAAACTTGCTGGATAAGTTTTCGGTTCATTCCGCTGTGGCGACCCCGGATTAATAAAGGGACTAAGCCGACAAGAAAATGAATGAATGAAAGACGTTTTTTGCTTATATTCTTTGTTGCAGGAGTGTCAGAAAAGGTTGGACCACAAGCTTTCATTAGACGCGTATCTGCTAAAGCCTGTGCAGAGAATCACCAAATACCAGCTTATGTTAAAGGTGAGTTAAAGCTGACACTAATATAAAATGAGACTGTATTTAATACTATTATGAAGTAAAATCATTTTCCTTCCCAGCACCATATTATCAGTTCATTATCAGCCCATGATCGCTGTTTTTATGTTTAGTTTTATTCCTACAAAGCTCTTTTTTTTCACACTCTTCTGCTCACTTCACAGGAGATGCTGAAATGCAGTAAGAACCCAGAAGGCACCGCTGAGCTGGAGGAAGCTCAGGCCACAGTGCTGGACATCATCAAATCGGTCAACGACTCCATGCATCAGATCGCCATCACTGGTTTTGAGGTATCTGCACGTGAGATTATACATGAAATAAAGGCACAGTATGTCATTTTCGCCACCAGTTGGCTCATATTCACAACAAACAAAGGCACAGTTTGATTACGCCTTGACTGAGTGTGGAATCATGGGAGTTGTCATCTTCATTACATCCTATGGAATTCCTAAAGTATTGAAAACTTATTGTCATAGTAGTATAAAGCACAATAAAGCTGATAGCTGTAAAAGTGAAACTGGAGCGCTAAAGCATTGCTGATGATTGTATTGGCTTCGGTTGGAATTTCTTTATTGTCTCCAAGGGGTAATTTGACTGACAGCAATAGCAGATACAATACAACACACTCCTAAACATAAAAGTTTTCACTAAAATAATATTAAAATAAAAGGTAAACAAAATGAGTTGTCAACCTAAACATATTTAAACAGCAGGAGTATAGTGTTCATAAATGAAATACTGTACAAGCTTAAAGCTGAAACATATGAACACAATTATTTATTTGGCCTATAGCTAGTCAAAGTTCTGGATGAAGTGGATGGTTTTCATCAGCTAAAATTGACTCTTACCTCATACCCATACCCAATACTCTTAAGGTTATAGTGCCAATAATCTGTTGCAAGTCTATTTTTGCTTGTCACACTCATATGACCATACCAGCATATTATGGCAAAGTCAAAAGTGACTCAATGAAAGAAGAATAAAAAATACTTAGATGAGAGCTAAGCTTGATGTGGCATAATAGCAGCAGAGCTTTTATTATGCCAAAGTCCATATTAGGCTGGTCACAATAATCAATATATCCACTTATTGCACAACATATGGATCTCAATCATTTTTGGTGACGCAATATATATCGCCCATACATTTAAAAAAAAAAAATAAATACTATATATATTCTAGCAACATTTTTGCTGACTGTGCAACATCTCTATCTCTATTGGAGGTGTCAGTGTCAGCAAAAATAAATTAATATAGTATATTTTTTATGTGGGTATCTGACAACTAAAAACAGATCTGGTATCAGATAGCACAGCCTCTATTACTCTTGATTTTGCATTTATTATTATTGGCTTGTTTATGATGTTCATTTCCACATTCTGATTCCAATGCCTCATTTTTTAATTGTTAAAATGACTTTAAGTACATTAAATATTCTGAAGAATGAAATAGTATGTGTTCTTAGGGGAGTGTACTTGTATTGTGATGATATTATATTGTACATCTGGCATTATAAAATGGTCTTAAAATGACAATAATATTGTTTATCACAATGTGTTTTAGTGCTATATGTTGTACAACAAAAAATAGGTACTGTGACAGGCCTCGTCCTTAATTTTATCATACGACACTGTAATAGTATCTGTGAAATTAGCAGTATTTTTTAAATACCTTTTTAAGGATTTTTTTATACATTTGCACAAAACAGTAAAAACAAACAGTCAACAACAACAAAACAAAATATACAAACAAATATCCCTGACACTACTTTCCCTTTTGTGGCTTTAACAGAAGATATACATAGCTAATAGTCTGAAAACATTAAAGTCATCAAGGGTCACACAAATGCACAGCAAGTGTACATATAGGGTGCATACACAACTTCAATACAGTAATGACGCACAAATAAATAAATGAAAGGAAAAAAAATTAAATGCAAAAAGATATTCGAGACATATAAATAGTGAACTATTCAGTGTGTAATGAAAGGAAGGTTCTGTATACCTTTATTACAAGCACAGCCATTGTGAAATGCATTACAAGGTTACAGTGAGATAAAGAGGAATGATAAAAAAATGAAATTAAATTTAAGAAAGGGGTGGGGGTTCTTTTGTGATTATATGAGATTAAATATCCTTCTACTCTAAAAAATTATAAATTGTCAACGTATGTAAGAAAGGGAGACCTTAGCTGCGTCCTAAATCGCATATTTATGCACTATTCTATGCCATTTTGTAGTATAAATAGTGTAAGTAATGCGTTCACACTGAAAACTCCGCTACAATGAAGTGTGTAATAATGGACACTTCACGCACTCAGCGACAGCAGGTTTGCTTATGTAGCGGAAGGGGCGGAGCTATCGGACGCACATGTTGAATAACTTTATTTATTTGGATGGTGAAAGCTAAATTCTCCTCAGAGAATTAATTTTCTCAGAGCAGAAAATTAAGCTCAGAGCAGATTAATTTTTTTGGACTCTACCACTTGTCTTTTTTGTCCAATAACGCTCAGGATCTTTTAAAAATTTTTAAATGACTGTCTTACTGCGTCCAACTTCGGCAGCAATGATTTGCTGTGAGAGCCCTTGCTTGTGCAGTTTAACAATCCTGCCACGTTCTAAAAGAGAAAGCCTTTTTGCCTTAGCCATCTAAAGATCTTGAGAGTGTTACAGACCGAAGGAAAACTACAACAAAGCCAGTTTTGCACAGAATTAAACTTTTTAAGGCTCTGGTCCTATACTTTTGATCAGCTGATTCGAGCCTGTTTGAGTTTAAATGCAATTTTCATTTAATTACCTACTCTCCGTTTTTTGTACATGTTGCATCTGTGTCTTCATTTGGCATTTCAAAGCAGTACTTACAACGTGATTACGGTACACCAGTGCAAAATGTGAATACTTTAAATGTTTCACCCGGTCTTAAGATTTTGTTCAGGAGTGAAAATAATTTGAACAAGCAGCAAAATATAATATAATATTGTATTAAGTCTTGTGTTGGATTTTGTGTTTTTCAGGGCAGTTTGAATGATCTGGGGAAACTGCTTATGCAGGGGTCGTTTAACGTCTGGACAGACCATAAGAAAGGCCATAGTAAGGTGAAGGACTTGGCACGCTTCAAACCCATGCAGAGACATCTCTTCCTCTACCACAAAATGATATTGTTCTGCAAGAAACGTGAGGAGATGACTGATGGCCATGAAAAATCCCCTTCCTACAGTTTCAAGCACTCATTAAAGGTGAGAAGGACACCATTAGTAATGCACATTTTAAAGTAGCGCATCAGAAACAAGTGAGAAAAAAAAGGGAAAAAAGCCTTATATCACAAAAAAAGGTTAAATTAGCTTGAGGTGTTTTTTTTTTTCTTGTTCTCAAAATGTGAATAATGGAAAATGGAAACACATTTGCAGGATGAATTGTGATGTAGTGAACAATAAGTCGACGTACTGTAACTATTCAGCTGTTTTTGCTGATGGTGTCATTGTTTATTTGGTTACTGGTGTAATTATACCCCAATCAGCCACTCATTGTTAATCAGGTTACTAAGGTAACCATACCACAATCTGCCACTAATTTTTTATCAGGTTACTAGGGTAACCATACCACAATCTGCCCATAGATATATACAGTAGATATCGCATAGGGACCCTGAGCATTCGTCAACAGCGCCGCCACATTGGTACAGTGCTCCCAGGACAAATGTCATTCAACCACACTAGTCAAGACAGTATTATTACGTGAAGATGCGGGACTTTAGCGCTGTCTACGGGTGTAGTAACGAGCAAACAAAGAAAACAAAGCACAAAGGCAAAACATTTCAGAAGTAAGATTAAGTTTTTAAGTTTTTGTATGTTATGAACTTTTGTGCTGAACAGGTAACGTTATTGATGATAATCAATCACTTACTGCATTCACCATAAGGCAAAGTAGCTCCAACTCGCACTAAATACTCAGCTTATGCTAGTTTTGTTGAATAACATCAGCAAACAATGCAAAAGAAATATGACAACAACATGCTGCGGTGCCAGAAACTTGTATTATTGTTGGCTAGTGAACGAGTCGTTCATAAGGGAGATTCATTCACAAACGAATCACTCCCTCCGTCAGTATGAGAAGTGAAAGCAGGAGAGGAGGTGTGTTTCAGGACACGGATTAGATCAAATTTAACAGGGAGGGTAGATAGTACATTTCCGAACACACAAACTTTTTGTCAGGAATGCCAATGTGATCACTGATCCATCAATGTAGAAAAGTGATGTAAAATGATAATTTTCGTAATTGAAAAAATTATTTGCATACTAACATCCAGGAAAACTCCCGATCATAGATATATGTGTATATCTTTGGCTTTGGATGGCCACAGTCCTCCACTGTACCTTGGTCCCGCATTCATTTCAAAGGAGCGCTACCCTGTTCCAAAATGGCGGCTCTATTGACGCATTCCTTCCAATAGACAACAACAGGGTAGGCGACATCTAATGTATATATTTATGCAATCTGCCACTCATTGTTTATCAGGTTACTAGGGTAACCATACCACAATCTGCCACTCAAAACAACTTATTGGAAACACACCTAATTTTAATGTAAAGCATTTTATTACTGTAGGTGCACATTATTATTATTATTATTATAATTATTATTATTATTATTATTATTTTTATTTTTATTTTTATTTGTATTATTATTGATAATAGTAGTAGTAGTATTAGTAGTATATTATTATTATTATTATTATTACTTTTATTATTAATGTTGAAAACAGATGTGCAGCTTGACATTTTTAAGAAAACCCAATTTTATTTTTATAGCATTATTTTTTATTTTTATTATAGCATTATTCTTTATTATAATTTTTTTATGCTTAACATTTAAATGAACAGCATACATATGAAATTGAATTAATTTTAACGGTATAAATGCCTTTACTATATTTTCATAGATTTAAGGGTGCTGTATGTAAGTTTTTTGACTCTTCTAATGTCACGGTTGATGGTGGGGAAAAGGAGCGAGGACTAAAGTGCAGAGAAAATGGGTTTCTGTTTCTAATAAAATAAAATAAAAGGCCAAACACCTACCCCGAGGGGGAAAACATGAACAAAACAATTAAAACAAACTAGTCTGGGTAGGCTGACTCTTATGGTGAACATATTGAACTAATACCTAATAACAGGGAGGGTGGGTTTCCTGTAAGTTTGTCATTACCAGGTTACAAAACTAAAATGATTGATATGTGTCTTGTTATTGCAAGGTGTTTGATAGCACTTAGGGATGTCCCGATCCGATATTGATATCGGAAATTTGTTCGATATCAGTCCAAAAAACTACATCGGACTGCGTTAAAAATCTCTGATATAAGCAGTCCGATACTCTCTTACCTCCGTTACAGCTATTCTATCCAGCAGCGTCCAGAGCGAGCGTGCAAAGCCCACGTGGTCACAACACTGCTTGCTAGCAAAGTCTCTAAGAGTTAACATGCTCTTCACACTAAGTTATGGTGTATTACGATAGAAATCTATTGTGACGGTAGCACACGCTGACGCTATCAACAACGGCACTTCTTTAACGTTACTGGTTTATTTACTTCACGTCAAGCGATCTTTACATTGTTTTGCATAAGGCTGCTAAGCAACATAAGGCACCGAATGGCGACGTAGCACACATCATGCGAGCCTCAATTTCGTCATGGCATATCGTGGTGCATCCAGTGTGATACCTAATTCATCACCAGCGCTTCCCACACATAAGACCCGGTTCTGTTCTGTGTGCTTGAGTTTGTTTGTTTGTTTGTATGTTTGTTTGTTTGTATACTTTATTGTCCCTCAAGGGGAAATTTTCTGTAGACTCACCCAACACTTCAGCAAGTTCTGACACAATAACAATTTAAAAGAATAAGTCAACATGTAAAAGAATTACACACACTATTGTTCAGTGTTCAATAGTCTGAGAAAAGTCTCCGCCACAGACTCGCGGGCTCTGCTGCTGCAGCAGACCTACAGAGACGCGCTGAACACCTGCTCTGACTTTAGCTTTGAGAGGAGCGCGAGGACATGCAGAAAAAAGAAAAGCCTTTTACTAAATAGACTGTTCCAGCTCATTATTTAGGGTGACAATACATTATCTTTTTCCCGGACATGTCCTCTATTTGGGACTTAAATATTGCATTCAGCCAAGATTTCTAAATCGCTGAACATGTCCCGGATTCTGCTTTCTTTAGCTGCGTTTCTACATTATTTTGTATGCAGACTTTCTCAATCTCTCAGCAGCACCAAGACTAGAGAGGGAGCAGATTTGATCTGTCAGTGGTGCACATGGATAGTAGGAGTGAAATTTTTCTTTATTTCATTTTTTTGACTTGAACACTCTGAAAGGAACAGTGTCATGTAAAATGCTAAACAGTTTTTGTTGTTTTCATTGTCTGTGAAATTAGAATAAGAAATCATTCTGTTGCTGAGGGCCATTACAGTTTAAAAGAAAGAATGGTATTACTTTTGGGGCAGAAGGAAAATTTAATTAGAGACATTCCCATGTTTAGCTCTTATTTAAAAAGCCCAGAAAGATAAAGTGCTCTGATAAACAGTGTTAGCTTTGCATACAAGTTTGCAGTTCTCTTTATTTACATTGTCGTACTTTTCCCATGTGGGCAGTAGGGTGGAACCTGTGCAAATATGCAAATATAATGAATTTTGATAAATAAAATTATTCTTAAAAGTCCCATTACTTCAAGTGCTGTGGAGAAAAGGTGTGTTTCAATCTAGCCTCTGCAAGTATTTTTTATGTTAAATATAATATGTGCAATATATATTATTATAAATGAATAATGTTTGGGAACATTTATACAGCCATAATCTTCTTATGATACAAACACGGATGAAATAGCTCTGATCATGTAAATGTTTGTACTAACCATACTGCACATTTTTATTAACTTAATAACTTATTTCTGCTGCCCAGTGTAAAATATATTTTTCAGCTCAACTGGATCAAAAATTCATCAAAAAGCTGTGTAAAATCGAAATTTTGGACACTAAACCTTTAGCAGTTGTTCAATTAACAATATTTTTTCCTATGTTCCTGCTCTCAGCAGTTTCTACTATTTGCTGATGGTAAAAAATAAATAACTAAAGTGACCTTTAATTAGCCTTTTTCACTTTAAAAATGTATTTTTGTTTATTCAATTAAGATATTTTTCAGGGTCTTAATATTTATTCTTGAATTCTTTTTATATATTCTTATGTAATAGTTCACATTTATGCAACCTATAGTTAATAAACTGATTGTTTTTTTTCCATACTTACTGTTGCTGACTTGTTCTTAGTTTGATCTAGCCGTTCATACATTCGACTCAACGAAATAGGTAAAAGTATTCATAGTTTGTGCTGATATCGGATTTATATCGGTATCGGTTCGTACTGATGGCTGCAATATCGGTATCGTATCGGAAGTTAAAATGTTACATCGGGTACATCCCTAATAGCACTCTATTGGAAGAACATAGAAAGTCCATCGATTGATTTTTGGCTGAAAGATTTGACACATTACATTGCACTGAAAAGAATCAATTACAGAGTAAAGGGCAGATTAAAGGAGTACCAATTTTGTATAAACAAATTTGGGATCTGTTTATACAATTTTTGGAACATAACCATACAATGGCACAAAAAAAAAAACTCTTAACGCTATTAGTTAATTGATTGATATATGTATATGTGTATTTTTATATGTGGAATACAGTACATGTTTTTCTTTGCCTTACCTCATGAAAGTGTATTTTCATGCTAAATTTCAAGTGTTTTTTTTTTTTTTTTACAATAAAAAATGGAAAAAAATGAAAAAAAAAAAAAAAAAAAAAAAAAACAAGGAGGGTGGGACTAGACAATAGACTGGAGAGCACATGACACACAAGTAACACAAGCCATGTGCTCACATAACACAAGACAAGAACACGAAGCCAGTGAGAGAACTTATTACCCGCATGCTCACATGACAACACTAAATTACGTGGCCACATTGTAAACACCGACCACGTGCTTAGACAACACAAACAGAACGCAAGACACGAGCACACGATAAACAAAGCACCTTACCGTGTGCTCACACATGCGACATGCATGTTCCGATCCCCGCACCAACTGAAAAAGAAACTGACCAGACTGTAGCACTGAGAACGAAGCACCTAGCCGCCAACAAAACAAAAAAACACACCAGGACAAAACAGCACATCTAGAGCATGCACGGA